CGGCTGGGAAGGTCCTCTCTGAGGACTGAGGGGGTCCCCGTCCCACACCAGGTGCCCCGCTCAGGGTTCCAGTGCCAGGAAGAGAATCCCCGTAACTTCTGGCTGGAAAAACCAGTGGGAACTGAGGCTCAGGGAGGCTGAGGCAGCTGGAGTCCCAGGCAGTTCCTCTTAAAGGGCCCGTGCATGGACTTCTCGAACTCACTCCCTCCAAGCATGGAGGGGAGGCAGCTCTAGGGGTGCCAGAGACATATAAGGAAGAACTAAGCTGTTTGGCATTGGAGCAAGGACTGGAGAGGGGGCTTTCTCCAGGACAAATGTGCTGTCAGAGGCCTTTGCTCCGTTGGTGAGCCCTTCCTTCACAAGGCTGGCAGACAGCTGCCATATCTGGAACTCTAGCAACCTGGCTCATACTGGTTGCCCCACCCTGGTGATTCTCTGAGGCCCCACCCCACCCAACTTTCAGGCCCACCCAAGCTGTTACCAGTTGCTTCACCATAGGATTGGCCTGTTTTGGATCCTGCTTCAGGTTTTCCTAAATTCTTTCAAATGAGCAGTATCTGGTCTCAGCTAGCCCCATACCTCCCATTAAGTAATACATAGAAACAAACGCAGGGAGGAAGCCAAAATGAGGAGACAAAGAAACAGGTCCCAAATGAAAGAACAGAAAAAATCTCCAGGAAAAGAACTAAGCGAAATGGAGATAAGCAACCTAACAGATGATGAGTTCGAAATACTGCTTATAAAGATGCTCAATGAACTTAGTGAGAACCTCAGCAAACTTAGTGAGGGCCTCAAGAGCACAAAAGAGGACCAGTCAGAAATGAAAGAGGCACTAACTGAAATAAAGAATAATTTACACAGATTCAATAGTAGAGTACGTAAAGCCAAGAAGCAAACCATCGATTTGGAATATAAGGAAGCAAAAAACGCCCAATCAGAACAGCAAAAAGAAAAAAGAATCCAAAAAAATGAGGATAGTGTAAGGAGCCTCTGGGACAACTTCAAGCATGCCAACATTCGCATCTTGGAGGTGCCAAAAGGAGAAGAGAGAGAATAAGAAATCGAAAACCTATTTGAAACAATAATGGCACAAAACTTCCCTATTTTAGTGAAGGAAACAGACATACAAGTCCAGGAAGCACAGAGGGTCCCAAACAAGATGAACCCCAAGAGGCCCACACCAAGACACATCATCATCAAAATGCAAAATGTTCAAGACAGAGAATCTTAAAAGCAGCAAGAGAAAAGCAGTTAGTTACCTACAAGGGAGCTTCCATAAGACTGTCAGCTGATTTCTCAAAGGAAACTTTGCAGGCCAGAGGGAGTGGCAAGAAATATTCAGAGTGATGAGAAGCAAGAACCTACAACCAAGATTGCTCTGTCCTGCAAAGCTGTCATTTAGAATCAATGGCCGTATAAAGAGTTTCCCAGACAAGAAAAAGTTAAAGGAGTTCATCACCACCAAACCGTTATTATATGAAATGTTGAAGGGTCTTTTTGAAGAAAAAGATAAAATATATGAACAAACAAAATGGCAATGAATACATATCTACTGACAATGGAATCTACAAACAAAATGAACAGGCAGAACAGAAACATTCTCATAGATACAGAGAACATTTTGTTGGTTGCCAGATGGGAGGGGGATTGGGGGAATGGGTGAAATAGGTGAAGGGATTAAGAAGAACAAATTGGTTGCTAGACTGACAAACCTCAAAGGGAAGGGGAGTTTGGGGGGTGGGAAGAAATAAACCAAAGAACTTATATGCATAACCAATGGACACAGACAACAGTGTGGGAAAAGGCAGGAGGGGGGCGGGAGTGGGGAGAAGGGGATCAATGGGGGAAAAATGAGGAACATCTATAATACATTCAACAATAAAGATTTTTTAAAAATGAATGAATGCAAATATCTTCCCCCATTTGGTGGGTTACCTTTTGGGTTTGTTGGTGGTTTCTTTTACTGTGCAGAACTTTTTTATTTTGATATAGTCTCATTCTTATTTATTTATTTATGCCTTTATTTCCTTTGCTTTTGGGGTCAAATTCATAAAATCCTCTCTAAGACCAAGGTCCATAAGTTTAATACCTATTTTTTTTATGTAATTTATTGCTTCAGGTCTTATATTTAGGTCTTTGGTCCATTTCGAGTTAATTATTGTATATGAGAACAAACAGTAGTCTAGTTTCATTCTTCTCCATGCAGCTTTCCAATTTTCCCAGACATATATTGAGGAAGCTTTCTTTTCTCCATTGCATGTCTTTGGCTCCTTTGCTAAAAATTATTTGTCCATATACACGTGGGTTTATGTCTGGACTCTCAATTCTGTTCCATTAGTCTGTGTGGCTGTCTTTCTGCCACTACCATGCTATTTTGATTATTGTCACTTTGTTGTACAGCCGGCTCTTGTTTATCGCAGCTAATCAGTTCCAGACTCTACTGGGATAAATGAATTTCTGCGAAGTAGGATTCTTTATTTATATATAGTCGTCCCTCGCCACTTCGCACTTTGACGTTCGCAGCTTCACTCTATCGCGGTGTTTGCAAATACCATACTATATACTATATTTGAAAAAACCCCGATAGAGTGAAGCCGCGAACTCTGAAGCACAAAGTGGTGAGGGACGACTGTATAATTTGGCATCACAAAGTGTGATCCTCTGACTTCGTTCTTTGTTCTCAGGGTTGCTTTGGCTATTCAGGGTCTTTTGTGGTTCCTAAAATATATAAAAAGCTCATTCACTTCAATACCAACCACACAAACAATCCAATTAAAAAATGGGCAGAGGACCTGAACAGACTCTTTTCCCAAGAAGACATACAAATAGCCAACATATATATGAAAAGAAGCTCAACTTCACTAGGAAAATTCAAATCAAAACTACAATGAGACACCACTTGTTAGAATGGCTATTTTCAACAAGACAAATAAGAACAAGTATTGGAGCCTTGGCTTAGCTGTTAGAGCGTCGGCCTGTGGTCCTGAGAGACCCGGGTTTGGTTCCCGCTAAGGGCGTGTACCTCGGTTGCAGTTTGTCCCCGGCCCTGGTCGGTCGTGTGGGTGGCAGCCACTCGATGTGTCCCTTCACGTCGATGTTTCTCTCTCTCTCTCTGTTCCTCTCCCTCCCACTCTATCTGAACAAAAACTGGAAAAATGTCCTCGGGTGAGGATAAAAAAAAAAAAGAACAAGTATTGGAGAGGATGCAGAGAAAAAGAAACCCTCATACACTGCTAGTGGGAACATAAATTGGTAGAGCCACTAAGAAAACAATATGGAGTTTCCTCAAAAAATTAAGAATAAAGTTACCATATGACCCAGCAACCCCTCTTCTGGGTGTCTATGCCAAAAATTTGAAAACATTTGCAAAGATATATGCACCGCTATGTTCATTGCAGCATTATTCTTGGTGACTGAGACATGGAAACAACCAAAGTATCGCTAAATAGATGATTGGAGAAAGAAAATGTGGTACATATGTACAATGGACAACTACTCAACCGTGAGAAAGATGAAGCCCTGCCATTTGTGACCACGTGGATGGATCTTGTGAATATCATGCTAAACGAAATAAGTCAGATAGAAAAAGTCAAGAACCATATGATTTCACTCAAATGTGGGATATAACACTGAAAGCAACAAATAAACAAACAAGACAAACAAAAACTCATAGATACAGACAACAAAGAGTGTGGTGGTTATCAGAGACAAGGGGGTGGGGGAAGTAGTAAAACACAAAGTAGGATAAATACATGGTGACAGAAGAAGAGTTGACTTTGGATGGTGGGCACACAATGCACTATACAGATCATGTACCATAGAATTATATACTTGAAACTGACATAATTTTATTAACAAATGTCACCTCAATAAATTTTTAAAAAATGAATGAATGAGCCTGGCCAGTGTGGCTCAGTGGTTGACCATTGACCCATGCACCAAGAGGTCGCGGGTTGGATTCCTGGTCAGGGCACATGCCCAGGTTGTGGGCCTCACCCCCAGTGGGGTCATGCAGGAAGTGGCCAATCGATGTTCTCTCTCATCGATGTTTCTATCTCTTTCTCTCCCTTCCTCCCTCTCTAAAATCAATAAAGAAAAAAAAAAAAATGCTTGAACGAATGACAACCGTTCCATATCTTAGAATAAAAGGCTTCCATAGCTTGGTTGACCCTACTCTGAAGTATAATCACTGAGGATTTTCAAAGACTAAAAGATTGTAACTTACAATTTATATTTCACTCTTATTAGAGATAAAGAAAAAAAATTAGTATCTTTTAATCTAAAGATGAGGCATAGGAAATGTAGGGAAGGCATGTTTCAGGACATTAAAAATCACAGCTCCAAGTCTTGATAACCAACAAAAGGTCTGGTGTTTCATTTATATGTTGGCCTGGAGGGCACAGATCATACGCACACTTAAACCCAGTACCCACAGCCCTCCTCTGCCACGTGAGCACAGCAGGAGCACAAAAGCTTCGCAAATATTGATAATCACACAGAACATGTTTATGGGGGTGGCACAAACAAGTCAATGGTATTTAATGCATTGTAATATTAATTTGAAAAGGAGACAAGAACAATTTTCAATGCACAGCATCAAAATCTGTGGAAATGCGATTTTCCTTGTTTGTAATCATTTGTATCTATAACTACTGACTGGTCAAATTTCCTCTTTCTTGCCTTATTTTTCAAAAGGACAACGCTTCCTATGAAGACTTTCTGAAACAAGTATTATATACTACTGGCACATGGAAATGGTGTCTTTATTTAGTGACCTGAAGTTATGCCTCTTTTATGAGGCATGCAGCTCTTGCTCAGCAAATAAACAACACTAATGAATGTTCATCTGAAAACTGGCACCAACGGCGATAAAGAAAACATCCGGTGCATTCTGTAAGTACCCGTTTGGGGGGATATATAAAAGTCCCAGGAGGGAAGGAGACTTTGAGAGTCAGGCGATTGACTTTTGCCACTGATCTTTGTTCCTCGCCTCTAAAAGGATGACTTCTGACTGTCCCCCCACATGCTGCTCTTCTGAGTCCCATGACGAGGTTTTTGATGATGCAACTGCTTCAACCTGCTCCGAGGAAACCACCTGTCGCCCTAGCAACCGTGCTACATCCAGATGCCAGACCCCCAGCTTCCTATCCAGGTCTCGCTTGCCGACCGGTTGCTTTACGCCATGCTACCTTGCCGGGGGTTGTAACTGTCCATGCGTGGTGGGGAACTGTGTTTGGTGTAAGGACGGGGTGTTCAACAACAATGAGAAGGAGACCATGCAGTTCCTGAATGACAGACTTGCCAGCTATCTGGAGAAGGTGCGGGCCCTGGAGGAGATGAACGCAGAGCTGGAACGCAAGATCCGAGAACAATGTGAAAAGAACATCCTGCTCGTGTGCCCCAATTATCAGTGTTACTTTGACACCATCGAAGATCTCCAGCAAAAGGTCTGGTGTCTCACTGTCCTATGCTCCACCTTCCCTAGCTGTGATTTTCTTTATCTTTGTACTAGAAGAGGCTCTAGAAGGAAACCAGGGGATAGGGGTTTCCAAGTGGCAAGGTGATGCAGAGGAAAGGGCTCTGGACTGGAAGTCGGGCAGCAGCCGTAACTGCACTCATTACTGAGTGACCACAGTAAACTCGCGCACCTCTAGACTTTATCGTCTACACTGTAGATTCTACAGGATGAGGAAATCTGTGCTATATCTAAAATGACTTCTGTAAGTAACTCTGTATATCTGTATTATTTTTAACGTAGATATTGAAATGTCATCTTTTCCATCATAGTTCCACCTAGGAATACTTTTACTTTCTCACTGATGAATTTTTATTATCATGGATAGGGATATAGTTCTAATACAAACTACTTACAAAGAAAAATGTAACTGAGTTCAGCTGCCAAGGAATATTGCAAAAACTAAACCTTCTTATTTCTCTGTTTCATTTACAAATTGGTATTCCTTTTTCCTTCGTGCAGTGGCATGGTTAATAAGAAAAGCAGGTTAAAAGCTATTGTATACATTGTTACAAAGACTTGTAAAAGGTAAATAATGGCATGGCTGTTAAATGAATAGATGCTTAGATTTCTTTCAAAGAATCACTTATTACTTTATAATTGACTTCCCAGATTTTGTGCACGAAGGCAGAGAATTCTAGACTTGCTATACAGCTTGACAACTGCAAACTGGCGGCCAATGACTTTAGGTCAAAGTAAGTTTAATTTACATTTGAATATAATTTATGCTCTCTCTCACTTTCACACACACACACACCACAAATATTCTCTATATAATATTTTTGAAGTTAAGCATGCTTGCAAAGCTCAAATGTGTCATTATTTGGGATGTACAAGAAATTATAGCATGTGGCTTCCTTGAGCCCTTGTGTCTGTCATCTGTCTGATGCCCCAGCACTGTGCATAGTGTCCAGCAAAGCAAACACCTGGTGGCTGTCTCCCTCTTTTGTTATGAAAGGTACGAGTCTGAACTGCGCCTTCGCCAGCTGGTGGAGACCGACATCAGCAGCCTCTGGAGGATCCTGGACGAGCTGACCCTCTGCAAAGCCGACCTGGAGGCGCATGTGGAGTCTCTGAAGGAAGATCTCTTTTCCCTTAAGAAAAACCATGAAGAGGTGAGGAGAGTGGCAAATCACTGAAAGAATGTAAGACTGACGAATTAAACTGATAAACTTCATGGGTGTATATACGTTGAACTTGGGTACATGTCGCTAAAGCTGAAACAAAATTACTCAAGACGCTATTACCATGCGGCCTGATCATTCCTGTGTCTCTGAACGTAGCTGTGAAATGAGCCCTGGCCAGAGCTAGACGAAGGAACCGAACCCTTCAGCTGCCGTTGCTTTTGTGGAGAAGGTAACCACAAAGGGCTCTCCTTGGAGGCTTCACGCCACGCCTAGCTCGAATCCATAAGGTATAAAAAGCAGGCTGATAAACTCAGCATATAAAGGCCATTTCAAACAGGGCGTAAAAACCCATGCAATATTTGAATCAATCTTTGTTTAGTATTCTGCATCTATCAACTTTTTAAAATCATAAAATATAAAGTGCATGATTAACCTATATTGATGAAGCTAACAAGTGAGAAGTTGAATGATGTAACAAAGAATATTTTCCCCTTGAACATTTGTTGATGGTAACAGCAACTAGCATGTATTGAGACCTTACTGTGTACCAAGGACTTCTGTAAGTGCTTTACATGCATATGAACTCATATATCTCACAATAACTCTTTGGAACAGGTGAACGTTTTACACCCATTTTGCAGATGAAGAAACTGAGTGATGAAGAGATTCAACGCAGGCACTCTGAGCCTAAATCCCGCGCTTTTACTCACTACACTCCAAAACAAACACGGGACGCCACGAATGTTAAAGTGATTTCTTCCCACCACTGACATTCTTTACTTCATTCCCACTTTCAGGAGGTCAACTTGCTTCGTGGACAGCTTGGTGACCGACTCAGTGTGGAGCTGGACAGCGCCCCCACCGTCGACCTCAACAGGGTCTTGAATGAGATGCGCTGTCAGTATGAAACGGTGCTTGCCAACAACCGCAGGGACGTGGAAGAATGGTTCGCCGTTCAGGTCAGCCCCTGGAGCACTGCAATGACGGCTTCCAGGCCGCTGCCTTGCCCGCATTCTCCAATCATGCCTGTGTTTCAGACGGAGGAGCTGCAGCAGCAGCAGCTGAGCAGTGCGGAGCAGCTGCAGGGCTGCCAGACGGAGATCCTGGAACTGAAGCGCACAGCCAATGCCCTGGAGATTGAGCTCCACGCACAGCGAAACCTGGTGTGTAAGGGAAAGACAGCTCTGTTGTGTCATCCCCGCTTCCATAACCCAAAGGTGGCAGAAAGTCTGAATCTCCAGTGTGCAAGGATTACATTTTCTTGTCTTTCCCAAGTACCTGCTAGATGCAGAAGTGAAAGCTCAGCAGCTTATTCTGTCCCAATAGGATGCCCGGACCTTCTCTCTTGGGCTTGAGCATGATCCTGCAGCACCCTCCAGAGACAGGGAGAGGGGGGAAGGGCAGGGGCAGAACCAGAGAGGAACCTCTGAGGCAAAGGCACTCAAGCATTCCAGTGGGTTTGAGCTCTCTTTTGATTAGAGTCACTTTTCCAAGCTCACAGTTCTATCTGAAACAAAGAATGGTATTCATACTTTGCATTCAACCCCTATTCTAAACATTCTCAGGATGCACACTTCAACCAGACCCTTCTCTCTGCCCGTCCACCCAGGCAACAAGAGTACTATGCATTCAACATTACATTAACCAGTTCCGGTCAAACACCGCTGTGTGCCACGTGAGGTCCTATGGAGAACATCCAGTGAAGCCTCACAATAACTGTGTGGGGTAGATCTCTTTACTAACCCCATTATACAGATGAGGAAAACTGAGACTGAAATAAATAACAAGGGGGCATGCGATTTTTAAGAGGCAAAGTGGAAGCGGAATCCCAGTTGTTCGATCCCAGAGCCCGTTCTCTTCACCTGTGTCACCCCTCCCTGCCACCAGCCCACACTCAGCGTTTCCTCCCAACTGCTGTTGATCCCCCTTTAGCTGCAGAAACATACCGCAGGTTGTGATGGTCCTAGTGGTGGTAGAAAAACTAACACGTACATAGCCCTTAAAATTCTTACAGGCACTGTTCTAAGTGCTTTACACATGTTAACTGATTTAATCCTCACAACCATCCTATAAGGTGGCTACTTTGCATTGCCCACTTTTTAATAGAATAAAACTGAGTCTCAGAGAAGCTAAGTAATTTCCCTTGAGCCACATAGCTGGAAAAGGAAGACAGGGGATTTGAAAACGAGCAACCTGGCCCTGGAGACTATGCTCCGCAGCCCTCTGTACACTTTCTTTCTGCAGACAGAATCTCTGGAATGCACTGTGGTGGAGACCGAGGCCCAGTACAGCGCCCAGCTGGCCCAGATGCAGTGCCTGATCGACAGCGTGGAGAAGCAGCTGGCCGAGATCCGCTGCGACCTGGAGCGGCAGAACCAGGAGTACCAGGTGCTGCTGGACACAAAGGCCCGGCTGGAGTCAGAGATCGCCACCTACCACGTGCTCCTTGAGAGAGAGGACAGCAGGCAAGTTCCACACAATTATTCTCTCAAAATCACCCCGAGTCACAAAGAGGGTTACTGTAGGAAAATCCTGTTTCCCCAAGATCTGGCCGAGGTCAAACCTCCCTAGTGCGTTAAAGGATCTTCTGGAAAGAGTGATGAAAAAGCAGCTGATGGCAATTACATGACCATAGAAATGTTCAAAAATATTCTAAAGTTCCAAAGCAGAATAAATATCATTACATAACATTTCATGCTGGGGGGGGGGTGTCTCTGTCCCTTTGCTCCTGTCTCCCATTAAAGGGGAATCAGGAACATGCATAAGGTAGCATTTGCGAAGTGAAGAAAATGCATAAAATTGTATTCAGCGGCCACTGCTGCAGTGGACATGAAGTGACGACGCTGGGTCCGGGCTTAGGCCGAATGTTATTCTGCAAAGAGTGTCCTTCAGAACACAATTTGCGGGGCAAATTTTGGCACGATTTTTTTCTGTGTTGACATTGTATCCAGCTTTCCCTTGGGATGCTTAATCCAAAATGGGTTTTCCACAGGCTTCCCTGCAACCCGTGTGCTCCAACAAGCATGCCAGGCAACGCCGGCGAGCTGTGCTCCGCGTGTGTGCTCTGCACCGTGGAAAACTGCTGTGCGTGAGCACTCGCACCCAGCCCCGCTGCGGAGGGACTCGGCGCGGCGCCCTCAGAGGGCACACGCGGCGTCCACCAGGGACGTGCAAACTTGAAACCAGGTCAAGGAGGCTTTCATATCCTAAACGTTCCTTCTAAGCATCCTGGTGTATGTCTGCTTTATCACTTCCTCTCCTGCCGACTTATTTGTATATTCTTGGAGTCTGTAAAGCTTTCTTGCTCATCTCCAAATAAAAATGGATTTCATTCCATTAGCGCGGTAAATATAGCTTTGTGGCTTCTTGCTGTGGATGTAATAACCATTTGATGCCAAGGTAATTGTCTAAATCCATGCCAATAGTTTGATCTTCCATAAACCCAAGTTGAAAATATTTTTTAACTCCTCAAATAAAAATAGATAAAGTAGCCCTGGCCGGTTTGGCTCAGCAATTAGAGCGTCAGCCTGCGGACCAGAGAGACCCGGTTTGGTTCCGGTCAAGGGCCGGTACCTCTGTTGCGATTCATCCCTGGCCCCAGTTGGGGTCGTGCAGATGGCAACAAATCAATGTGTTTCTTACATCCATGTTTCTCTCTCCCCTCCTCCTACTCTGTCTGAAGAGAAATGTAAAAATATCCTCAGGTGAGGATTAAAAAAATATGTGTAGATGAACTAATCCATGCAATTATGAACTATATCATGGGAGATAGCTGTATGTATCTTTCTGAGAGAAAATTTAGAAATAAAATGTAATACATTTTATTTTCTTTTTTATAATAAAAGGACTAGACTCCTCTTTTTCAATTTCTCACATGAGGGACGTGGGAGGAATCCGTCATAATCCCACGCCCTTAACATCTACTGTCAGTATTTTTGGAACTTCCAGGTTTTCTATCTTCTAACAGGTTTTTCTATATAGTGATATCACAGTTAAATGTGTGTATAGTTGTGTAACCCATTTTTTTCACTATGTCATCTAAGCATTTTCAATCCTAATAAGTATATAAGATCATTCTCTATTTTAGTGGCTACCCAAAGTACAATAACACACATTGCTCTGTTGTTGTACAGTAAGGATATAGAATAATTATTCTCACACATAGAAAAAGCAAAGTAGAGAACTTGCACTTCCAGAAAAACAAAGCAGAGGTACATTTCCCCATCCTCCCCATTCCTCTTCCTCGGGGGACGGAAACCCCGGAAACTACGCGTACAGAAGCAGCAGACTCGCAAAGGTGGAAGTAGAGGCCAGCATCGAGAGTGCTTGACAGCCAGGCACCACGTGATGGTGTTTCCTGGGCTTTCTTTTTGTCCCCGATCTCTTGTATTGAGAACTGGAGAAACCAACAACCCAAAATCACCGGCAGCTGCAAACAGCAAATTAAAAAAATATCCAAGAAAAGGCAAGTGAAGGGAGGAAGGGAAGTAAGGTGTCCACACGTCACTTGAAGTGACCAAACGTCAGCACCGGGAGACTGGTAAGTTATGTATATATAACGTAATACCTAAAGGAACTGCTTTAAGAGCTATGCAAAAAAATTAATAATAAGATGCTATAAATAAATAAAAGTGGAAGTCTAAAACATATTCAAGTAACCCACAGGAAGGCAGGAAGAAGAAGCCAGAATTTTTAAAAAACAGAGAGAACCAACAAAAAACAAAATGCAGACGTGAGCCCTACCGTATCAGTAATTACAGCAACTGGAAATCATCTAAATATACCAATGAAAAGACAGAGATTGGCAGAGTAAATAAAAAACTAAATATTTTCCACAAGAAGCTCACTTCAAATATAATGAGGTTAAAAGTAAAGGGATTGGGGGAAAAAATACACAATTGTGCATAGCAGCTCTATTTATAATAGCCAAAACTGGAAACAACCAAGATGTCCTCAATATCTGAAGGTCACTGTGGTGAGTGAAAAAAAGAAAGGGAATCTTGAAGGGTCATATAGTGCATGAGTCTATTTACATGACATTCTTGAAATGATAAAATAATAGAGATGAAGGACAATTAGGCTTAGCATGAAGATCTTTCATGAAGGAGATCTTTGTGGTGATTACATAGCTTTATAGATCTTGATTGCAGCGGTGGTTACATGAATCTACACGTGTGATTGTATGAAATTATATCCCGGTAAACTATGGTTAACATAAAAAGATCAGATTTGATACAGCTCTGTAGCTGTATGAATGCTCACTATTTTATTCGTATACTTGAATTACAAATGGATCAAATATTCACTTGTGAAAAATAGAAATTATAGATGTACTAAAAGAAAACATAGAAGAATTCATTTATAAATTTAGAGTAAGGAAGGACTTTTTTAGCAGTGACTCAAAATCAAGAAACCATGGCAAATGGATAAATTTGACTCCATAAAGTAACCGTGCTTGAAATAGTTCATAATTTAAAAAACATATGGGGAAAAAATGACTGGAAGGAAATATACCTGAATGTTAAAAGTAGAATTCTCTGCATTTTATAGTTATTGATAAATGTTATTTTGTTTATGTTTTTATATGCATTCGATAAATTGAATGTATCACTTTTAGAATCAGAAAAACAGTTTGAAAACTAATGTTTCTGCTTCCATACCCTTCTCTCCATCTTGTAATTTTTCTTCTTCTCTGTGTCTCTCAAGCAGAGTTGTTCTCTCTTTCCTGCCATAGCTGACTGCTTTATTTGTTCTGTGGGGCTGACTCCCCTTTGACTCTGCAGGGCCACCCTTCATCAGTTATATGGCCCTTTTCTTGAGTCTTTCATGTCTTGTTTACCACTTGATCAATTTTCATTTTCCTGTAAGCACGTGTTACCTGATTCTAAAATACGTGTTACCTGTAACTATGAAGCAATTCTTCCGAAATGGCAGCTTCTTCCTTCCTTTAATTACCAAACTTTTTGGTAGAGCAGTGGGTCTCTATCACCTTCATTTTCCTACTTCCAACTCATTTGTTAACTTTTGGCAATCTGGCTGACCTGTATGCATTCTACTGCATAGCCTATCTTTTTGTTGTTGTTGTTAATCCTCATCGGAGGATATGTGTGGGCTGATACTCTAACCACTGAGCAACACCAGCGAGGGCTACATAGCCTATCTTGAAGAGCTTCTTTATCTACCTTAATATCATCCTTTTCCCATGTAGAAATGCTTGGTGCTTCTTGATTTTGAGTCACTGCTCAAAAATGCCTTCCTTGCTCTGAATTTATAAATGAACTCTCCTCTGTTTTCTTCTAGTACATCTATAATTTCTATTTTTCACAAGTGAATATTTGATTCATTTGTAATTCAAATATATGAATAAAACAGTGAGCATTCATATAGCCACAGAGCTGTATCAAATCTAAACTGTTTATGTTAATCATACTTTACCAGCATATAATTTTATACAATCAAATGCATCAGTTAAAAATATGAAGCTCCATGAAGTTTGAAAAACATACACAGTAATCACCTAGACATAGAATAGAATATCAAGACATAGGATATCAACCTTGAGAGTTCCTCAGGCTCCTTCCCAGTCAACTCACCTCCCCAGAAAGGATGCAGCCATTGTTCTGATAACTAACCCTGTAGATGAGTTTTACCTGTTTTTGAAGTTAATATAAATGTAATTATACCATCTATACTGTTTCATGTCCTACTTCTTCGGCTCAACACAATGTTTTCTAGGTTCTTCCGTGTTGTTGTGGGTACCAGTAGTTTATTCTATTTTGTTGTTGAACACTAATAAATATCACACAGTTTGTTGATCCATTATCCAGCTTATGAGCAGTTGGGTTGTTTCCATTTGGTGCTGTTAAGAATAGAGCATTTTTATACAAGTCTTTTGGTACATATGCACTCATTTCTCTTGGGCATATACCTAGTCATAAAAATTCTGGGTCATAGGGGAAGTCCTTTGTTAGATATATTGAGAATATTTTCACCTAGCATGTGGCTTGCCTTTTCACTTTCTTCGTGGTATATCTTACTTTAATTATGATAAAGTTTAATCAATTTTTTTATGATTAGTATTCTCCATGTGCTAGCAATCTTGACTTAGCACAAGATTATGAAGATATTCTTCTTTATTTTCTTTTTAAAATTCTATATGTGTAACCTTTACATGTAAGCGTTTTTAATCCACCTTGAATTAATTTTTATATATATTACGAGGCAGAGCTCAAAATGTACTAATTTTTGGTACAGTTTTATAACTGACTCAACATTTATTTAAAAGGCTGTCTCTCCTTTTTGCGTTGACTTATTTTGGAAACTGTCAAAAATCAATTGACTACATATATGTGAGTTTATTTCTAGACTCTGTATTCTTTTTCATTGATCTACTTTGTCAAAACTTATGCCAATATCACATAGTTTTGATTATAGTACTATTATAGTAACTTACAAAAATGTACACTCCCACCAGCAATAAATGAGAGGCTGCACACAATGCAATGTATTTGTTAACAAACTGATTTTTTTTCAATCTGATAGATGGAAAAATAAAATATCTCCATGTAGTTTAAATTTACATTTCCTTTTATTATGAGTAACATTTAGCATTATTTCTAAGGCAATATTTTTTATTAAAATTTTTAATGTATACATTATTGCAGGTGTCTACCGCCTCCCACCCCACCCATCTTTTATATTTTCTTTCTGGTCACTCTCTGTGGTATAATTGCAAAAAGTCTTTCCCAGTTTGTCATCTGTCTTCTGATTTTGTAGGTTATACTTTTTACCCATGTACAGGTTATTTGGCATAGTCAAATTTATGTTTGTTTTTGTTTTTTTAATCCTCACCCGAGGACATTTTTTTGCATTTATCTTCAGATAGAGCAGGAGAGAGAGAGAGAGAGGAAGAGAGAGAAAGAAACATCCATGTGAGAGAGACCCACCGACTGGTTGCCACCTGCACGACTCCCAACCGGGGCCGTGGCAAACAATAACATCGACTCTTCTGAGGTACATGCCCGTAGCGGGAACCGAACCCAGGACTCTCTGGTCCGCAGGCCCACACTCTAACCGCTGAGCCAAACTGGCCAGGGCAAATTTATAAGTTTGTATATTTTCTTAATTTGGAGACATTATTCAAAAGACCTTCTGACTGCAAACTTGTAAAGGATTCTCCTATGTGTCGTTTGTTTGTTTGTTTGTTTTTCCAGCATTTTTATGATTTCTTTTTCACATCTGAATCTTTGATCAATTTGTAATTTGTCCTGTATGATCCAACATTTTCTGTCCTGCCCCCTACCCCAAGTGATACACAATTGTCTCCAAAGTACATATGATAGTCTATCTTTACCCTATTGATTTAAAATGTCACATATACTAAATCCCTATCTGTTTGGGAGTCTATTTCTAGATTGCTTATTCTATTCCATTAGTCTGTCTGACTATTTATGTATCAACACTCTTTTAATTATTGAGGCTTTAAATTTTATTTTAATATCTGAAAGGACTAGTTTCTCTGTGGCTTTTCTTTTTTTGAAATTTCTTAACTATTCAAATTTGTTTACTTTTTCCCCTAAAACTTCAGAATCATCTTGTCTAGTTGAAAAAAGTCACATTTTGAGAGGACTGCAATAAATTTATTGGGGTCTAAGTTAAATTAATGTAGAGATAATTGGCATTATTATAATGATGACTATAGCATTTCAGGTCAGCGATATATCTTTCTATTCATTCTAGTTTTCAGTCCTTCAGTATATCTTAGTATTTTATTCTTGTAGATCTTGTTCTTTTCTAACTAAATTTATTCCTGCACATTTTACATTTGTCAATATGATTGCAAATTGTATTTTTTTTTCTTTACCTCATGTGATATGCAGAATAATGGGCACACACAGATGTTCATGTCCTAATCCCAGAACCTCGGAATGCATTAGGCCACGTGGCCACAGGGAAGTAAGATTGCTAATCAGCTGACCTTGAAATATGAAGGTTATCCTAGATATGAGTAGGCCCCATATAATCAGAAGGGCCCTCAAATACGGAAGAGAAGCAGAAGAGTCGATGTCAGAGTGATGCATCTGAGAAAGACTCGACTGGTTGTTGCAGGCTTTGAAGATGGAAGTGGCCATAAGCCAAGGAATGTGGCAGCCTCTAGAAGCTGGGAAAAGCAAAGAAATTATTCTTTCCGAGCACCTCCACAAACTTGGATCAAGAATTAATAACTTTCTTAAGAAAATGCTGAGTAAACATTCCTGGGAAAGAACACACATCCCTTTCAACAGATCGTATTTACACATTAAACATAAACCGACACTATCACAAATGTTTAGCTAATGTAATACCACCAGCAAACACTGAGTACTAAAAATGTTATCAAATGTGGGCTTTGTCTAAACAAAAGGTAACCAGCCTCTTTTTCAAGAAATGTCTTGTTCGCCATCAGACTCTATTTGGAAAGCTAAAACCGAAATCCGGCCATTACCTTGGAAGCCTTACTAAAGACTGACATTTTAATCCATACTCACGGTGAAAATGGGGAGACAACTGGGCAGAACAAAATAAAATACGGATGTCTAAGTTCACACCAATAATGATTGGATATTAGTAGTTTCCCTTTTCTAGAGAAGAAAGGAAAAACAAATGGACTCATTCCTGGTCACGCTCAATACAGGTGACGAGGTCAACAAGGACCTAATGAACTCGCTATACTCATACCCGCGTAATGATGGATGCTGTTAGAACTGTGCCGACGGTTCCTTTTGAAGAAACACTGTGAAACTCTGATCCAATAACAAGTAGTAGTTGTGATGGGTAATAACTTAGTAACAGCTTAAATGCCTGTTTTTATGAGACAGGCAGCTCTTCTCAGGCAGGTAAAAAGCAGACTAATGAGCTGTTCCCAGAGGATTTGACAGAAGCATCAGGAGGAGAACCGGCTGCTGCTGGGACACCACCTTCAAAGAGGAAGCAGCCACAAGAGGCTCGGAATTTAGACTCAGTCACAGTACCTTGAGCTTTCGACCCAGGGGAACCACAGACTTTGAAATAAACCAAAGCTAGGCACACACTATGGATACCAAGGACTGTTCAGCAACTATTTCTTCTTCACCACCGGGCCAAAGCTGCTCTAGGATTACAAATTTTAGGATCATCTCTTCTAACACCAGCTGCCGGTGTGGTGGTCTTGAAGCCAACAGCTGCCAACCAACTGGCCATGCTCTGAGACCTCTCTGGTCCCAGCGCTGCCAACACACTCCTTGCTTTTGTCCTATGCCCACCTGCTTAATAAACAACTTCAACGCCGGTCCCCCTGTAGGAGATTGTGGCTGGTGTGGTGAAGGCATCAACAGCAATGAGAAAGAGACCATGCAAATCTTGAACGACCGCCTTGCTAACTACCTAGAAAGGGTGCAGACGCTGGAACGAGAGAACGCGGCCCTGGAGTGTAGGATCCAGGAAGAGTGTAACAAAGAGGTCCCTGTCGTATGTCCTGACTACCTGTCCTACTACACGACCGTTGAAGAGCTCCAGAAGAAGGTAAGATTCTTAGCAACCTGTATAATCAAGTTTTGAGTTGACATTCTCCAATATCTTTATTTCCTTTTACGCTGAAAAATATTTGGTAGAATAAGAAAATGTCTTGAATAAAATTGTTGTCTTGGCCCAACTTTCAGTTATATTTATAGATGTTCATTTTCCAGAGATATCCTCTGCTGTTATTTTAACCAGATAACTCAGGACGAAAATGCATTAACAATCCGTTGCTGCCATTTCTTTAACAAAAATAAGAAAACAGGGAACCAAGAAAATGAAGTTTGTTTTAATAAGTTCCTATCTTGGAACTTAGTAATTTTTATCCATATTCGCCACCATCACCACTTTTCTATTTTATACCCATTTCAACATCTCTCGATTGTTTTAAGCAGTTTCTTCCCATATACACCAAACCTAACTCTCCTATTCAGAGTAATACGCTGCTGCTATGTGTATTGGATCTATTCTGTTTATTAGCTTACCAAATAATTACTGAACACAATAACAAGGCACCAGCCACTATTCCAGGCTCTGGGAACATATTGGTGAACTCAAATGTTGCAGCCCTCGTGGCATTTACAATCCAGTTGACGGTGGTTACGTTACGCAAACTTAAGGTGGATTTTATATTTTAATGGTAAAACTTCTATACAAGTTTTTATTAAAGTAGTCATTGCTTAACTTTTAGGAAAATCACAAAAACTCTGATTTTCTGAAGTTGCCCAGACTGCCTAAGCATGGCTATGAAAAGTCTAACTGACCTTCCCCTGTGAGCTGAACTACACACCAGCCCCTTGGTTTTTCCGGCAGGGATCTTGGTGTTGGTCTCATTTGTGTGTACGACTTCTTAATTCTAGATCTTGTGTACCAAGGCTGAGAATTCCAGACTGGTCTCACAAATTGACAACACCAAACTGGCTGCTGATGACTTGAGAGCCAAGTAAGCCCACCCAATACTGTCGTTCATGACAGAATTCACCCTCCATCCGGTGCTAAATACTCTCAATGAGATTACCCACACGTCCCCTAACCCTCCGGCCTGTACCATGACGGCACTCGCCCAGAAGAGACCTTCACATCCAATCAAGTATTAAGATTCATAACCACTCACATGCATACAATACCTGTAGATGCTAACGTATAAGCCCATCTGACTTCCTGCCCAACCATTCAGTGAAATGCGTAGGGCAAATATACTGGTACCCCACTTAAGGTGAGAAAACTGTGGCTTCCTGGGGTTCAGTTGCATATGCAAAGGCCTACAACTGGTGGTCCAAGACCGAGCCGCAGCCTAGACACAAGCTCTCCCCACTTCCATTGCATTGCCTGTGGGGCAGGGGAAGGCAGATACATTCCCACGTCTCAAGAACAGCAATGTAGCATCACTCTGGCCGACTAATATAGGAATAATAATCCCAGGGTGATGTTTATCAAATGATTTCACCTGTAAAGAGAATAAAACCCAACAGAGATGCCGCAAATGAGAGGCCCACAGGAAAATACAAAAGGGCTTCTGCTTGGCTTGATGAACACCATTTACATTGAAATGCCTTTCACGTCATGTCTCATTTTTAAAGGTATGAAGCCGAGGTGTCCCTGCGCCAGCTAGTGGAGGCAGATGCCAACGGCCTACAGCAGATCCTGGATGCTCTGACCCTGGGCCAAGCTGACCGGCAGGCGCGAGTCCAGTCCCTGAAGGAGGAGCTCCTTTGCCTCAAAAGCAACCATGAAGAGGTTAGAGAAAGCCCCAGCTAAGCCTCTCAAAACAGCATTGATTCCTCTGAATTGAACTTGACTCCTCTTCTGTTAGCCCTGATAATGCGTACTATTACTACCACTAGTTCAATGTATTGCAAACCAGTCGCCTATAATACGGTGTCTGAAGCCTCCACTGTCCTCTCTACCTTCCCAAGGAGAAGGAAGTAACCCAATTTTATTGTCCTTTCGGGTTTCCCATATTTTTGTAGGCATCCCTACCCAGATTCCTGCCACTCTATATTGGCATAAGCCTACATTGGCATCACAGAGACTATGGCCTCATAAATTTCACCTCTTTACGGCTTCACCCATTACCTGTCCCTGGAAATGATCGGAATACTTGAAACCCATGATCTTGCTAGTCAATTCCTTCTAATGTTGCACTTCTTTGAACACAGAGTCCTGTCTGAAATAGCCTTAAGTCATTTTATCGCCTCTGCAAAGCACCTGCGAATCATGTATTCCTGCATTGGGAGCTATATTCCAGACACAGTTAAGCTACATTATTGCTGTTAGACTGGAAACAAGAACGCGAGGGGGCCATCTGTTCACCAAGTGCCTTCACACTCTTCTTCTTCCCGTAGGAAGTCAATTCCTTGCAGAGCCAGCTTGGGGACAGACTCAACATTGAAGTGACCGCTGCCCCTTCTGTCGACCTAAATCGGGTTCTACAAGAAATGAGATGTCACTATGAGTCTATCATGGAGACAAACCGCAGAGATGTGGAGCAATGGTTCAACACGCAGGTGGGGAGGGTGGGAAAGTCGGAACCAATGCATTGACATTGCACCCCCAGGGGCCCTTTAACTGAAGTTATGTTTCCCTCCATACTATCCATGGTCCTTGGCTGTGTTCCAGATGGAGGAGCTGAGCCAGCAGGTGGTGACCGGCTCTCAACAGCAGCAGTGTTGCCAGAAGGAGATCATCGAGCTGAGACGAACCGCGAATGCTCTGGAGGTGGAACGACAGGCCCAGCTCCGAATGGTACCCAGAAAACTGAGCCTAGCAGCGTAGTGATGGCCACAGCCCCCGACACTGGTGTGCTGGGATGTTTCCCAAACTGCGTCCCTCAGAACAACCGTTCCTCTGTTTGTTAAAGGGTCTATGGCCAAAAAAGGACTCCATGGTCAAATAAGCCTGGGAAATCCTGGGTCAAAGAAAGTTTAAACAGGGGGCCCTCCTGTGGGCCAAAAACCGATACGCACCGTGATTCTCCAAGAAGGGGGTCTATGGTGTTCAGCCTTCCGAACCTTATTTGACTGTGGACTCCTTTTTAAAAGAATATCTCATGGCAATAATGATTCATGAATATACTTTGGGAAATGCTCAAAGAGAATTTTATTTTATGCAAAGCATTTTTACAAACTATGAAATTTATAAAATAATCTTCTGAGGGCGGTGGCATAATGTGTAAGCCAACTTCCCAGAGGAGACGCAGAGAACTAAGGTGACTTTCCCAAGCCGAACCCAAGGTGAGTTTCATCTCGCCTGGTTTAGAGAGGGAGACCCTGAGATCCTATGGCATTAAGTCACAAAAGAAATAAGAGTCTGAGCCAGGATTCGGGTTCCATAGCACTGACTCCGCCTCCTTGTACTCTCTCTGAAACATTCTGACGTGAAGGGTACTAGGAAATCCTTGCCCGCAGCTGGTTTTGTCACTGGCCAGTCATGTGTCTGGGGCGGCTCATTTCGCCTCTTGAACCTCAGTTTTCTCATCTCTAAAAATTGGGATCATCATGCAGACAATAGATTATTAAAACCGAAGATTCCATTATCCATAAAACTCACAGAATCGTAGAGCAGGGAAGAGTTTGAATGATGGATGCTTCTACTCTCCTACTTTCCATATAAAAGAATCGATCCAGTGAGGGAACTGTTTATGGCTAAATGCTGCTTACTTCCTTTTTAAGGTACAAACATGAGAGGTACCATGATCATGGGTTTTTTGTCTTGTTTTGTTTTTATCCTCACCTGAGGATATTTTTCCATTTTTTGTTCAGATAGAGTGGGAGGGAGAGAGAGAGAGAGAGAGAAACATCGACATGAAAGGGACACATCGAGCGGTTGCTGCCCTCACGACCCAACTGGGGCCGGGGACAAACCGCAGCCGAGGTACGTGCCCTTAGCTGGAACCGAACCCGGGTCTCTCTGGATCGCAGGCCGACGCTCTAACCACTGAGCAAACTGGCCAGGGCTGATCATGGGTTTTTAATTCTTAAGTATGATATAAATTGGAATATTTTTTTCTCACAGGTAGGAAAGTATGATAGAAGATTATCAAGTGATTAAGAAAGGAAAATAAGCAGCACTGAAAAAGGGGGAGAGGCCCTGGCTGGTTTGGCTCAGCAGTTAGTCCCCGCTAAGGGCATGTACCTGGGTTGCAGTTTGTCCCCGGCCCTGGTTGGGTCGTGCAGGTGGCAGCCACTCATTGTGTCCCTTCCACATTGATGTCTCTCTCTCTCTCTCTTTCTCCCTCTCTATCTGAACAAAAAATGGAAAAATGTCCTAAGGTGAGGATTAAAAATAATAATAAAGGGCACAGGATAGAGAGAAGCAAGCTTTAGCGTAGCTGATCATTTTGATTTTGGATTTGGCTCAGCGTTTAGTTAGGAGATAACAAGAGGGCTTAAAGATTCATTAGTACCTGTCACAAAAAAAACACTGTTGAGAATGGTACGGATCACAAGTGACCTGGGCTTGAAGGAGCCCTCATTACAAACCCTGCCTCCCTCCTGCCTGGCAGAGACACTCCCAGGAGTGCTTCCTGGCGGAGACGGAGGCGCGCTACACAGCCCTGCTGGCCCAGATCCAGGGCCTGATCGATCACCTGGAGGCTCAGCTGGCGGACATCCGATGTGCCCTGGAAAGGCAGAAGCAAGAATACGAGATTCTGCTGGACGTCAAGTCCCGGCTGGAGTGCGAGATCGCCACATACCGCAGCCTTCTGGAGAGCTCAGACAGCACGTGCGTAAACACCTTTCCGAAAAGGCCACTCGCACACGTAGGCATGTTCCACCACGGGCAGCAGGCACCGGTGCCTGGATCTTACCAGTGATGGGAGCTTCGGATCAAAGGGTCTATACGGTCTCTCAGGCTGTGCCGTTTGGTCACGTACCGTTGTAACCTAGTCTGGCTGAGCTCAGTTTTTTCAAGGAGTCAGTGAACCTGGTTACTTCCTTATAGGATTTTTAGCTTCTTAGAGTTTAAAAATTACTAGGGGGAAAAAATGTGTGGGTTTTTTTTTTTTTTTTTTAAAGAAGAACATTGCTGGCAACTTTTAGATTTTCCCCACTGAGACGAACATCTGAATCTGGTGAGATCGAACAGGACAACCCTGCTCCCTTTGGAGGAACCTGCTCAGGTAGAAACCCTCGACTCTGCCCAGCCACGTGCCCGTGGTGCCAACAACGTCTCGTACATATGCGTGTTTTAGCATATTTTTCATTAGAAGTTATAATGTTTTATTTATTTTTTTAATGTTTGAACTCTTTTTTTTTTCTTTATTGATTTTAGAGAGAGAGGAAGGGAGAGGGAAAGAGAGATAGAAACATTGATGAGAGAAAACATCGATTGGCCGCCTCCTGCATGCCCCCCACTGGGGATCGGGCCCACTACTTGGGCATGTGCCCTGACCTGGAATCGAACCGATGACCTCTTGGTGCATGGGTTGACGCTCAACCACTGAGCCACATTGGCCAAGTGTAGAAGTTGTCATGTTTTTAAATGATAAGACACATACCAACCCATAAGAAACTGACCCAGAGCAGGCTCCTTGAAGCAACCTCATCCAAAGGCAAACTCAGTTGTGATAGTTAAAAAGACCTCCCTCCCTCAGACAATCAGTGAGGTCTGCTCGCAGCACTCTGAACCGGCATGTTCACATCACACTAGCGCAATGTTAACCCGTGCTCCCCCCCCGCCCCCGAGGAGCCGCAGCATACCAAAGGGCCTTGAATGGCCAAAGAAAGATGCTTTCTAAAAAGAACTCTTCCTGTTTCTAACTCCAATTCCGTAAAGATTATTCCTTTATAAACACGCCCAGAAGGCATGGAGCTTCCTGATGCAGCACTGAGAACTCTGTGGTGGATGGGGTTCAGGCCACCAGGAGTACATCCTGTGATTAACTCTCTGATAAGAAAAGCATCTGATTAACTTCCTTTCCTCAGATAATAAGCTCCTTGACTTGTCCCTTATCATTGTTGATCCTGTGAGTTTAGTTCGCATTATATCCATTCTGCAGATAAAAAACTAAAGTCAGGAGGGTTATCTAAGGGCAGCTGGTAAATAACAGAGCTGGCCCTAGCCCAGTCTGTGACTCCTGGGATGGTGCTCTCCCGCAGCGCGTGGCCTTGACCGGAGTGGAAGGGAACATAATGGCTATTTCTAAGCCTAGGATGTCGCTTTCCCATGCATCTGGTCTGATTCTGGTCTGGTTCTCTTTCTCCCACCGATGACAGCACAGAATGAGGGAATACACATTTGGACGTATTTGTTTCGAGTGACATGTTGGAAGATTACCCATCTTTCTCCATGGCCACTGTCGCCCTCCCGCAATCACAAGTACTATTCTGTCGTTTCTTTCTCTAGGCTTCCCTGTAACCCATGTGCCACCAAGTGTGAGCCTTCCCTTTGCACAATCGGTGCGGCCAGGGCCATGGAATGCACAGCCCCCGTTTACACAGCATCCCCAGCCCGCGGTGGGATGCCCGAGCCCTGCTGCACCTGCAGAGTCCTGCCCCGGCTGCTGGTGAAAATCTGCACCATCACCCAGGAAATCCAGGATGGGAAGGTCATCTCTTCTCACGAGCACGTGCAACCTTGTTTCATCTTCAGAGCTGCCCGAGCCTAGCACCCCAAGGTGATGACAATGACCCTCGTTTGTGAAAGAGAGGCCAATACTTGCTCCTGCCAGAAAGGTTTAAGAATTCCCCAGTCCCTTCAGGTACTCAGTTTCTTTCTACTACAGTGGGTCCCCGTGGACAGCATAGCTTTTACTCTGCTCCTTTCCCAGTCTCTGCTGCTAGCGTGATAATAATCGACATTCTCTGGAAGCACATTTCATGTTTATCTGAGGAACAAGCACTGACTTGTAAGTGCCCGGGAAGGTGACCTACATTGTTGCCTACAAGTGATGGGCAGGTTCCTCTTTTGTTTATTTAGGTCTTATTTACTTACGTTCCTCACTGAAGCCAGTCAGACAAGTTCTAGGACTGTTTTTGGCGGCAGCACGGGGAGGTGAAAAGTTACAGCCTTTCCTTCTGAACTCCCTCTTTGGATGTAGAGAAAAGCTTATATGGGAATAGCATGAACAAGGAAAAGGATCTTTACTATTTAGTTTCTTTGAATAGATTGTCACGAGTCTGAATCCTGTTGAACTTTATTTTCTTAATTACTGTTCATCCGTACATACATGCTTTACCTTCCCCAACATATTTTTATTTATTTATTTTTGTTTTTGTTTTTTCTTTATTAATTTTAGAGAGAGAGGAAGGGAGAGGGAGAGATAGAAACATCGATGAGAGAAAACATCGATCAGCCGCCTCCTGCATGGCCTCCACTGGGGATCGGGCCCACAACCTGGACATGTGGCCTGACCGGGAATAGAACTGGCGACCTCTTGGTGCGTGGGTCAATGCTCAACCACTGAGCCACACCGGCCGGGCTTCCCTGAGATATGTTTAAAGATGCCTATGTTCTCCAAAACTCTGGAAACCATTAGGCTGTCCAGACATTTTCACTGAACACTGGGAACAGCTATGGGGAGTAAATCTAGAGCGTTTTTAAGAAATAGCATGGATGCTCTCATTACTGTTTGCTCTTTCTCTTTCTATTCTCTAGAGAATGGGATTTTGTTCTGATCGTTTCACAAGGGACATGTAGCTGGAACTCTCAAGGCATAACCCTGCTCCTCTATCTCCCTGTGATGGCTGACTATGAAAAAATAACTTACTTGCCTGCTTCAGTCTATCCGTCAGAGAGAAATGGACTTGATATTCACAAACTGCAAGTAAATAATCACGAATAATTGCTACTTGCAAGCAGGAGGCAGTCCCGGAACGAAGGCATCGTTTACATCCCAGCCATTATCAAAGCTGCTTACAGCAGGGTCACAGAGTGTTTGAGTCATTCCCCACAAGCATTACTGGCATTGCCAGAGGTTTCAGTAAATGGTTCCGAGTCAACACAGAGCGTGGAGCCTGGGGTCCTAAACCGGCACTTCCTAGCTGTGCCCCCGGGCCAAACACCCAGCGTTCATCGGATTTGATTCCCGCCTTTGTTAGATGAGGGTCATGCCTACTTCACAGGGACATTGTGAAGGTCAATGACATTGTTGCTGTAACGCGGCTTTGTTGGCTGGAAAGCTCTACATAATTGTTATTTTTAATAGAAGCTTTGTTTCTAGCCACAGCCCTACACCTAACTGTGACATTATGATCTCACGTTAAAATTCTTTCTCCATGAATTTAGTTACCCAGTCATGATTTGGGAGTTTTAATAGTGTTTGCCTTTGGCGGTGGGGGCAAAGAATAGAACAAGCTCCCCTGTGATCAAGCCCACAGTTCTACTCAATAAAGCATTTTTTGAAGTCACAGGACATGTATCAGGTATCAGTTGACGGCTGCAGCCCACATCAAAGACAAAAGCGTGAACTCACAGCTCAGCAATCCACTTCCTCCAGACAAGCAGCAGCGCACACTGAGCAGGTGGAATGCGGAACTCGCAGCCCATCTCTTTTCTCCCGATGACTGATGACTCGTCTGTCCGGAACGCCCGGCTCACCCTGGCAGCACTCAGCTGCGCACCTCTCAGGTGGAGAGTGCAATGTGGGAAGAGCACGGGGCCTGGGCTCAGAAGCCGGAGGACACAGTCCCAGCCCAGCCTGTGTGGGTGACCTTGAATAAAGGGGACAGACAACTCAGGCCCCACCTCCTGCGAGGCCAGAAAGATTAAATGGGCCAATGACGGTGAAGGGGTTTGGTGGGCTGTGGAGTGCTCTGGGGAAGGACGTTTATTCCCTAATTTGAAGCCAGGCATGTCATTTCCTCCCAGCCACCTTCCTTTGGGTTGTTTCAGTGGGTCCCTGTACATAGCATCAACACAGACTGGGAAACCAACTGGTGAGAGGTCAACGCTGCTATTGGCCATGGGGGTTTAGGAACCTCGCTGGACTCAGGCCAACCTCAGGCTGATGCAGCGATGCCATTGTCCATGTATCCCAGGAACAGGACATCTTCCTCCCACCCAGCAAAGGGTACCACTTGCCTTCCACGAGAAAAATAAACTACACACCGCATAGTAAAGAGGGGGTTTGACCTCAGGAGCTAAAGGAGAGGGAGAGGGAGGATCCAATACACATATAATTCTAGCACAGCTCAAAAGACAAGCATGAGTCAGGAAACAGCATGTCTCTGGAGCCTGAGTTCAAATCCCACCACTGCTTCTTCACTGGGAGACCTCAAGCAGGTTAATGAACCTTTCGGAACACGGCATTTTCCATCTGTGAAGTGGGGGGTGTTAGTGATGACTACCATCGGATCATTGTGAGAATCCAATAAACTAAAGCGTGGAAAGTACTTAGAGGAGTATCTGAAAACTGCACATGTTCATACATGTGAGTCACTTCTATCAGTGTTGCCATTATTAATATAAATGTGGCACCAGTGTGAGCCTCTTTGGGAGACAGTGCTGTAGAAGGCAACGATGCCATTACTACTTCTGCTACTGCTACCAATAATAACAACAGCAACAGCTTCTGGGTGCCGAGCATTGACCATGCACAGCCCCCCAAGGCAGCTCTTTGTATTCCTCTTTCCAAACGATGAAAATAAACCTCCGACAGAGTAAGTGGCTTTCCCACAGCTAGAAGGTGATAGAGTCAGGACTCAAACCCAGAACTCTCTGACCCCCAAACTCATGTTCCTAAACACTAGACCAAATAACAGATCCTTGAAACCAAGGAGTCTGTGAGCCCCAGTCCCAGAGGGCAGCTGGGACGCAGGGTCCTTCCTCCAGGTCCACAGAGTCCTAGTAAGACACAATGGCACGAAGCGCTGACTCCAGGGAGCGAGATGGCCTTTGTTTGCTGGAGCCTGTATTTCCAAACAAGGGGATGTGTTTTCTCTGTTTTGCATTTCTTTGTGTTGACTCCACCTCACTATGAGAGCTGGCTTAAACCCTTCTGAACACAGGGGTAACCTTGATTCTCCCTTTCCCTTGGTCTCTCACCCATTAACGGCCCCCAACCTTATTCATGACCCCCCTTCCCCATGCCCATCCTCCACGATCAATGCCATCATTATCTGCTTAGAAGACACGGCCGAAGATTTTCCTCAAGAGTTCGGCTCGTTGTAAGCTTTTACATCACTTCCCACCAGAATTTCTTTAGTTGACCCAGAAACCACCTACATCTAAATCCCCTGGGGAGCTGATAAAATTCAGATTCTTGAGCCCTACCCCAGACCTCCTGCATTACCATCTCTGGGTGTGGGCCCTGGAAATCCAAATTTTAACAAAATCTTCAGCTGAAGCATGTATGCTGAATTAAAAGCCACTGCTTTCTAATTGACAAGTGCTATTTGGTTTAAAGATCTGGATGACTTGATGCCTTTTTGAGGTTCTTTTAGGTTCTGACATTAGCCCAAGAGATGACCGCTTGCAGCCCATTCATCCCCTGCATGTCCATTCACCTGTTTACAAAGTGGGCTGGTTGAGTAATCCTCACAACACTACTAAGAAGCAGCTACTAGCAATATTCCCATTTAAAGGGTAAGGAAACTAACAGAGAAGTTAAACGACTTGCCCAATGCCACACACAAATAAGACTGAATTTTAAGTACTTTGATTTCTTTAGCAAGGTCCAAAAAAAAGTGCCTGATACATTATATAATCAGTCTCCAAGAACAAAAACAGTATTTTGTTTTAATTTTTTGTTTTAATTTATTGATTTTAGAGAGAGAGGAAGAAAGAGGAAGAGAGACATAGAAACTTCGATGAGAAAGAACATCGATTGGCTGCCTCCTGTATACCCCTCACTGGGGATCGGGCTCACAACCTGGGCATGTGCCCTGAACGGGAATCAAACCAGCGACCTACTGGTGCATGGGTCGATGCTCAACCACTGAGCCACACTGGCTGAACCGGAAACAGTATTTTTATCTGTAGACACAATGTTGCACAGCAGATCTCTAGAACTTAATCATTTTGCATAACTGGAACTTTATGTCCCTTGATTAGCAGTGCTTCCTCCCCCCTCCCCCAAGCCCTTGCTAACCACCACTCTATTCTTTGTTTCTATGTGTTTGTCAGTTTTTAGATATCTTGTATAAGTGGAATCACGCATTACTGTCTTTCTGTAACTGGCTTTTTTCTCTCAGCATAATGTCCCCAAGGTTCACCCCTATTGTTACATATTGCAAGATTTTCCTCCTTTTGAAAGTATTTTTTTAATTTACTTCTGAGAGAGGAAGAAAGAGAGAGAGAGCGAGAGAGAGAAACATCAATGTGAGAGAGATATATCAATCAGTTGCCTCCTACGTGTGCCCCGACCAGGGATCAAACCCGCAGGCTTTTGGTGTACGGCACGGTGCTCCAACCAACTGAGCCACAGTGGCCAGGGTTATTTTCTTCTTTTATAATACTGAATAACATTCCATTGCATGTGTGTGTGCATCAATATCACATCTTTTTTTAATGTAAACTCAACATTCCACAAGGAGCTTCTATTTTTTTAATTAGAAACTTGTTTTTACCTTTTGACCCCATCACCCTTATCGCCCATTATCACGTTCTTTTTTATCCATTCATCCATCAGCAGATGCTTAGACTGTTTCCTAACCTAAGCTATTGTGA